CCCCCCCGGTTTTGTAGAGATAGGGGGTGGGGATTTCCAACCCACCAAAAAAACAAAAGCTCTTAGGTTGGAGGCCATCGCTACCAGGGTGGATCGCTATTAGGTTGGAGGCCATCGCTACTAGGGTGGAGGCCATCGCTACTTGGTTGGAGGCCATCGCTCTTAGCTTGCAGGCCACCGGAGGCCATCGCTCTTAGCTTGCAGGCCACCGCTACTGAGGCCATCGCTGCTAGGTTTCAGACTTCCCTCAAATCTCCTGTTGCAACAACCCATGCACCTTCCTTCGGCCCTTCGGCCCTTCGGTCGTGCCTGGGTCTCCACGGCAGCCACACGTAGCACGGCAGTGGATCCCATGTCACGGTTGGCAATGACCACCTCTGGAAAAAATCGACGAATCGCTTCACCGACGAAAATATCCCTCAGAAGATCCCAGGAGATTTCACCATAGAAGTGACAAACCCCCTTAAGCACCACGATCGAACGGCTCAGCTCTGCGGATCGAACGTGAGAACGAAGGATCACGAAGGTGAGAACGAACGCGTGACCGGAGCGGCAAAGAAAAGGAGAAGTGAACACCAAATGAGGAATTCTTGATTCAACGAGATGAGAGATATCGGAGATATGGAGTTTTCATGGAATTTTCAGGGTACGCACGTCAACGTACGCACATCTTGAAGTGCGGGGCCCAAAAAACCAACTCTTTGAGTGCCATTTCGGCTTGTATTCGTCTTGGTCAGCCAGCATATTGAAAGAGGTCTTTGGAGAACAGCGCCTCTTGGCCGTTTGGGCCCTTCCTTTTTCGCCCTCCGCGTCCTGAGACCAAAGCTTAGGTCCTCTCCTGCGTGCCGGTGGTGTATGTTGCGCAAAAAAGATGAAAAACAGGGGCATCCAGTGCATGGACAGATGCGGAATGTGCATTGAGCCAAGAGTTCTGAGGTATATATAATTACATCCCCTCTCTGCTCGGGGTGCACATCCAGGGGTGCTTGGAATGCCCTACTCACCTGGCTATCAGGGGAACCCCGCAGGATCCACAGCCAGGTCTCGCCTTCCCGGTGACTTCGCACCGTAGATCAGAGTACTCCTGGACATACGCGGACGAGACGCTGATCAGTGCAGTGCTTGGCAACACAACTGATATGGCACAGTTCTCTTCGGCTAAATGATGCATGCAGCGCATTGACACGTCGGATTAATGCGGTCTATCGACCTGAACGCAGGTCTATAGGGAGTCACCTGATCATGGTTTTCATGGTCATTGAGGGAAACACATGGAAAAACATCGAAAAACACCTGCAGTCCTTCACACAGCCGCGGATGCCTAGCGGCTTGGACGAGATTTACGAACGACTGCCGGCGGTCTGGGCAGCACAGCTAGGTCCTAGGTCTGGGCAGCACAGCTAGGTCCTATAGGTCTGGGCAGCACAGCCCTTCAGTGGGGGCTGTGGACTGTGGCTGTTCGATGGATGCATGCCCCCAACTAGCGCTTAGGAGGGAAGATGGGGTGCCGAAAGCTGAACCCGGTTAGGTCTCCCTCAGTGAGGTCGGTCATGTGGCCAAACCGATGCTTTGCCCTGAACCTCCGTGGGTCCAAAAAGCTCGGGGCGAGCGTCACCTTGTGTTCCTCCAACCTGGGACGAGCGGTCGTGAACTCACTTGCGAGACGTTGCCAGACTGCCAACACCACCAGCCCGGTAAGGCGCCCACCCCGTTTTGGTCTGTGGCGAGGGGACGAAAACAGGACTGGCTAGGATTTGGAAAGATCCAATTCTGGCCTGGACTTTTTGCCAGCACATGCTGCACTGCTGGGTGAGACGACCAAACACTGCTGACAAATGGGCAAATGAAGGCTCGCTTCATCGCGTAGGTCGGCCGCTTTAACATGGCTCTGCTGGCAGTCAACAAATTGGCCCAGGGCGATAGGCCCAAGTCGATCAAACTTGGGATGCTTAAGCGTTGATGCACCTATGCTTGGGGCTTTAATCATGTCTGGTGGCCGACCCCGGCTTGGCCAGCTGTGTCACCTGCCGGATGATCTTGGACGAGCTCTTGAAGGCTAAGCATGGCCCTTTCAAACGCCAGCTGTCCCTGGCAACCTTCGTCAAATTGGCGTCACTGTGAGATTCCTTATACACTCCAACAACAAACCAAAACTATGTAAAGCATTGTGCTGCTGTATATACTGTATCTAAACCAACAAAACTGAGGTTGCACAAAAGAGGTCCAAAACAGTCCTCCAAGTTGCCTTCGCCAGGTGCTTTTCCCCATTTTCTCCTCCAGGTCCAACTAGTCGTGCTGTACTTCCAGCTGCTGGCGATTCAAAGCACTTTCAAAGGCTGCTTCCTCCACTCGTTCCTGTGACACGTGGTCGTTTCTGCACGGGGTCACCTGTGTGGCACCCGCGAGCCTTTTCCGCAAGCTTGGCGATGGCATACAAATGTCCTTGACCGATACCCTCGCCCTGGTCGTTGGGATAAATGCCCTGCAGCTGTTTGGGGCGGATCCTGCAAACAGATGCTGTGATGCGCCGGCCACATGGTGTAACTTCAAGCGGGTGGTTTCAGTGTCGAGCTGACCCAGGTAGGAATGGGGAATGGAATGAACGGAAGACGGTGGTCTTCATGGGATCTTTTTGAGCGGATAGGAGAGACTCGATCCATCCAACCCTCAAACTCGCTCAACGGAGCTCAACGGCTTCGAGAACTAACGGGAGGTGGGACAAAACTTGAAGGAAGAAATCCAAACAACACGTCGTAATGAACGCTCTGGCACATCTTGGCTGGCGTGGATACGAACCAAAGAACTCTTCCATCGGTCGGCTGGGGAGTCTCGACGGAGTCGGGACCCTGGGACCCTCCTGCACGGCTTCAAATCTTCGCCCTCGCAACCAGCAAGGGACTCCTCCAGCGACCCCTCTGGTGGTGTGTCTGATGCGCAGGTGCTGTGCCACCGGATCAGCTGCTCCAATGGTACCCAAACACAGGCATCACCTCGGCGATGACCAGCCGATGGCGTTCTGTGGTGAGAACAGTCCTTCAATCATCTTCAATCTGCGCTTACAGGATCTGTTTGTCCATTTATTCCGCTAAGGTGCATTGAAGTGCATTCTGCATTCCCTCCCCCTCCCTCCCGTTCTTTTGAAAGGCTCTCAATTGGTAGCCTTTTTCTTGACCTTGAAGGTGCCAGGTTTGCCCAAACCACGGCTCTCCCAAACGTGGGGGGCACCTGCCTGGCTTGCTAGTGTTGAAGGAATAGAGGTGTGGGTCGAGAGTAGGTGATGGTAAAACAAAACACACCATGATTACCACAACTACTCTAAATAAGGCCGCCTTCAAATCATCTCCTGGGCTTGGTTTAATTTTTTCTCACTCAGCAAAGCCTTGCAGCCTCTGGCTTCAACCACTTATCAGCTCAGTCACACTCTGACGCTTGGAGAACCAGTTGCTGTGCCCTCTCTTGGTCCAGCACGGCTTCCATGAACACGGTCACAGCATGTCCTTTGACTTGCCCCGCTTCCAGGCATGCTTGGCTGGAGGTCGGGAACACGCTCTCCCACAAGCACAGCGGCCGCATTGAGCCACCGGAAGCATATAAGCCGGTCTCTTCATGCAGCTCCTTACTTGATGAATGACCTATGCCAATGCAGTGCAAAAAATCATTTTGGTCAGACAAGTTCCAACTTTCCTACTCCTAATAGCTTCTTGTTCCTAGTCGTAATGACAGGAGCTACTGGTAGCTTCTTGTTACTAGTAGCGATGCCCTTGCTACAAATAGGTCTCACCCACATCTCAAAAGTCTAAACTGTGCAGAGAGTATCCCAATCCGAGGCCGAGACTCTCGACAGGCCGCTGTGGTTAAAGACTCTCCTTCGTCCACACCACCGCCCGGAAAAACCCAGCATTTGGGAAAGGTCCGCATGTGCTGCCCACGCTGGGTCAAGAGCACTTGACCTGAAGTGTCCCTCCTCAGTGCAAACGGACAATCAGTGGTAAAGAAGACGCTACAATCTTCGAAAGAAACCGCCCCTTGGGCGAATTGCGAACATGTGTGCGTTAGAGAGCCCTAAAACCAAAGGGGAGCAACTATCTGGACCCAACGTTGTGAAGTATCGTCGGGCCCAGGGGGTTGTGTATGGCTTCAGTCAATGGGTCTGCAGGATGGGGCCTCTCTGAACGACGTCCGAAGCTGACCACGCTGGGCCACGCGGTGCAAACGAGGCGTCCTTGAAAATCCGGGGAAAGTCCTTAGAACATGTAAACACAAACAATCACAAACACATTCTCAAACCCAAGCGTGTGACCACATCAACCCACACCAGCACCAAAACATACCCAAACTCAACCAGACTCACAGGTTGAGGGGTGCCATAGGGGGGCTACCTGAAAGCCCTTGATCATGTGAACTGTTGATGAATAAAACCCTCAACCCTGAAGACGTTTTTGAATGCACATGGGGCGGCTTTACTCATCAGTCTGCATGAAGTGCAACCGCTCCGAATGGGCTCTCAACGAGCCCTAAGAGGTCATTCAGCCCTAAGAGGTCGTTCAGCTGGACTGCCAGGTTAGGATGAAACTCTTAAGCCCTGACGGCGCCCCGGTACATGGCAGCTAAGGCTAAGCAAAGCAGGAAAGCTTAAGCCAGCTCCCAACCTGAACTTGCACATGAACACCGAATCATCTCCCAGCGTCAGCACCACCACCACTGCCAGCTTCACGAACTCAGCTTTCAGCGTCACACGCTTCCTTGGGGAAAACCAGAGTCAGGACGATATGGATGAATCCCGGGCTTTCCCTCATTTATCTGCAAGAACTTCATTGTGTGTTTGGATCATTTTGGACACATTGATCTGTATAGGACATGACCTTTACATCTCAAACTGAGGGTGATTCTTTTGCGGTTCGGGGCCAGGTTCGGGTCGATCTGAAACATGGTGTCAGCAGCAGCACTCACAGGTCAGTCATTGATTGTGTTCCAACCTTTGTTGTGTTGCCCTATTTCACCACCAGGCACTCCACCAGGCGTGTTTCACCAAGATGTGGCCTGGGATTTCTGTCTAAGGAAGGTTCAACACTTGAGGCAAATCTGAAGAGCCGTTTTCAGTATAGAGCCCCACAAGCGGCCGAAGCCGCCCAAAAGCAGCCGTTCAGGAATCTGGGACTCCGGGACCCTCAACAACCCTCAACACACGGCACACGGGTGGTGTTCATCCTGCGAACAACTGCTCCCAGGCTTCAATTCCTCCATCTCCACCAGCTCCGCTATGGGGCAACGCACCGAGGTCCCCCACATTGACCCTGCTGCACTTGGGGCTGCCCGGCCAAAGGGCAGCGTGGAGCCCGGCTCTGGGAACTCCTCCGAAAGCTGGTTCGGGCAAAACAAAGAACGCTACCCTACGAGCTACTGTACTACCAAATGGCTGATTGGATCCACCAATGCCATTGGCAAGCGAGCCATGTTGAATTGGTGTCCTCTGAAGTCTTTAGCGCTGCAACATGCTGCAAGTACACTTTGAATGCCTTTTAATCCCCAAACTCGTGCGATCATGCCCTCATCGTCATGAACATGGTTCCCATGACCCAACCACTGGACTCCCTCGACTTCCAACAACCATGAACTTAATAGGCTTTACCGAATCAACTAAGGATTTTACACGACAAAAAACCAGGTCAACCATTTTTAAATGGTCTTGGAAGTCTAGGGGACTTGCTTCCACCCGCCGTGGGAGTCCGTCATTTGTTTCGCCTCAATGGCCGCCAAGCTCAACTTCCCAGGGCCAGGTTCTTGGGTGACCACTGCCTCCAGCACTCAACTCGTGGAGAGATGGTGGGGCGGAAGGGTCCTGAGAATCCTGAGAGAGGTCCTGATAGAAGAAAGAACCTGGGTTGCGTTTCTAACCGTGGTACAAACCTCTGGCTTTAGCATGCTTTCAAGTCGCCCAAGAACTTCTGCGAGGAATTTCTCAAGGCTTTCCTAGTGGTGGAACCGTGGCCGATGATGGGCACGGCCCACGCGACTGTCTTTGCAATGAGGTGAACATCGTTTTTGGATTTCCAAGCCAATGCTGACAGGACGAGCTAACTACCAGAATCAGCCTGTGAACTTTCCTTATTAAAAGCAGTGTTGGGCTTTGCCATGCGTTGCCTACCCATGAGAGCACAACGCTCAGAAAAAAAGTAACAGTTCTGCTTTACTGGCCTGCTCGTCATAGAAGAGGCCCTTTCTTCGCCCGGCCGTCACTGTGCCCACAGCATCCCAAACACTCTGGCCAAAGCGCGCAGGGACACCAGCGACGAGAACAGCTTTGCAAGCTTCCGTCATGGC